CTTCTATGACAACATTTTATCACTAATTTTTTACCGCTTTCAAGAATTTTTTTTTACTAAAAAACTGTTGTAGAAAACAATAAGAAAATTTCCCCTAAAAGAGCCAAAATCATAACATTGCATTAATGAGCTTGATTTGTTTTGATTTGCAAATGTAGTTGTAGATGACCAAGAAATTTTGATTTCTTTAAGATAGAAAATATATTTTGTTTTTTTTTTTTCAGAAAATAAAGTTATTATATTTGAATGGCTTTTGTGTGATTTAAATTTAATGATGTTTTTAAATTTTTTTTTTTTAATATATTTCCTAACTTAAAATTAAGCAAATGAACCTTACTTACAAAATGGAGAGGCATCATGATCTTCCTCCTAAGCTTCCTACTATATTTTCTTGCAAGATTATTATTATACAAGAATGAACTATCATAAGCCCAAAAATTTACTTGATCTCTAAGAAATCATTTAATTTAATTTTATGAATATAAAATTTAGATCTTGAAGATACATAGCCAACACACATGAACTATGTGGAAGTAGTTAGTGTTTGAGACCAAAAGGATTGTCAAGAAAATGAAATTTGGAAGCATATATGTGATGAGTAATGGATACCACATAAGCATTTAATTAAATAATATGTGCAAGTAAAATGTCAATTATTTGAAGATTTCTTTAATAAGGTTGTAGTACAAAAAGATTTAATTTTATTGAGTTTGCAATTGATTCATACTCCATGACCTTTTTTTATTCTTTTTAAAATTTATGCAATTTGAATAAGATTCCAATAACCACTAATGCCTAAAATGCAAGATATATTTGCATAGACTAATTAGTATCAATCAATTATCATATATGTATAATAAATTCACAAATTATTTTCATTTTTTTTAATCTACCTTACGTGAAAAGGTTGGAGTAGCTCTAGTGGAAGATAAGATTAGAGAGAGTCACCTTAGATGATTTTGGTCACATAAAATGACGACCTTTTGATAACCCAGTAAGGAAAGTAGATGTATTAGATTTGACTTATATTAAGAAAGACAGATGTAGACCTAAAAAGACTTGGTTAGTAAATATTATAAATGATCTTTCTTTATTAGATTTAAATGAGACTGTGATTTTTAACAAGACACAATGGAGAAAAAAGTTTCATGTAACTACGTAGTGGGACAAATGCCTGATGATGATGTTGTTGTTGTAGTATCTTACCCATCATCATAAAAAAAAAAAATCAATTTGATAATTATTTTATGTATAAAAATAAAATAATTACATTTGAGAGAGATTTAAGAGAAATTTTTTGGAGTATGTATTTTTAATTATATAAAGTTAAATCATAAATTTAATAAATTTTATCATTTCTATTGAGTCCCACTACTCAAAGCAAAAATCATGTGAGATAATTTGAAAGCAAGAAAAACATGTGAGATTTATTCATTCCTATCTTATAGAGCAGTGAAGATGCCATTCAAATTAGATCAGAGCATTCAGGCCAACATATAAAGTACTACCATGTGCTTAAAAGCTGGGAAAGTGCCAATAGATAAGATAAATTCATAAATGAGAGTAATTTGGGCTGCATTTAAAATAATTTTTTCATAATTTTATTTTACAAATCCCATACATATTTTATTTTATATATATATAATATATATTATATATATATATATATATATATAATATATTTGCAATCAAATCTATTAGAGTGTGGTAATTTACAAATGAATAATTATTTGCTTTTTATATATTTTTTATAATATCCATAATAATTTTTTTTTAAAAAAAATTTCTCACAATATTTACATTGATAATATCAGAAATAATTGTAATCCTTATCTATTGATTCAATTTAATGATGAATAATGGGGACCAAAGATGATGCTTTAAGAAAAAAAAAATAGTTTAATATTGTTGATGGGATGGGAGTATTTTTTATGTTTTGAAAAACAAAAAAGTTAAATCAATCACTTTGTTGGATGGATGTGTTAGGTGAAATTTTTAATAGCTTTATTTGGCATATTAATTAGTATATTACTATCTCATTTCTGTTTAATTATAATTATTTTTTTATTATATTGAATATTTTTTTATAATGATAATAAGTTTTTTCACAACTAAATTAAATAGAATTTGAAAATTATAAAAAAATTATTCTTTTAAAAAATCTATAATCCTTATAATGATTTAAAAAAATATATATTTTTCTCATAATAAGTATACACCTAATTTTATAAAGTATTGCAATCATCCAAAACCACCGCCTTCTCTAAAAATAATAATTTTAATCACTATTAAAATGAATAAAAATAAAAATATTATTTATTATTTACCAATAACCAAATGAATATTAATTATATGTTTATATTTATTATTAGTGCGAGAGAGAAGTAATATTTTAATTAGAACAAAAATTAAGATCTTGATCAAAATTTATTTGGTATATTTATTTTGAAATTAGTAAAACACTTATGAGTGAATGCTTGAAAGATATTCTTTCAAATGTTTTTTCCTTAATTTTAATTATGATGCAAAAACTTTTAATTTATATATTTTATTCTTGATAAATAAGAAGAAAAAAAACTAACAAAATGGGATTTATTAGATTTATTAATTATTATGATTGTTTATATATTACCATTTTATTATTATAATATTTTCATATGATATAAAATTTTAAAGATGGGTAAATTAGTCTAAATACTTCGTTAATAATCATAACTAAAAATTTATAAAAAATATATTTTTATAAATTAATATTATAATATTTTTTTTTTAATTTCTTACCTTAATAACTCAGAAGAAATTTTCCCTATATACGTGGGCATGGCTGACAAGTCACTCAGCTAAATCAGTAAATCACGTGGCATTCTACTATTCTCTGTAAACGTTGTCATTTCTCAATAAAGTGTCTCTGCTTTATAATACTAGCTTAAAAAATTCTAAAAAATGTATATATTTAAAAAAAATTCTGAGAGAATTTTAATCAGAATATATTTGTGCCCGGTGGAACTATTGATCATAGAATTGTACCCAAATTAGCCTTATTAAGATTTCATCTTGGACAAATTTTTTTTTTAATGTTTTTTAAAACAGAATTTTAGTATTAATTTTTATACTAAAACTCATATTTAAAAAGCAATAAAAAAGTCGCCCCCAAACGAAATCTATGTGATTCATCCAATTCGTTTGATAGATCTAATTCTAATGAAAGGCGCAAGTATCGAAGAGTACGGTTGACGATCGACCCTTTTTAAATTTAACAATTTTAGGATGATATGAGAAATTGAGTCATATATCTATTTTTAACCTTTCTGAAAGTTTTTGCCAACAATAACTACAAATTTTGGTGTTTTGATCGGATGTAAATCGGGTGATACTAATTTGCGATGTGGCCAACAGATTGGACCTTTGGCTTAAAGTCTCTATAACCCAGTTTCGATGTCATCTTTTCTGCCTGATCATTAAGCTAAACTTTTACAAGAAAATAATCCATGTAGCGTACATCCTTCCAATGTTCTTTTGAGAATTTTGGAAATTTAGTATGTGATGGTCACTTAATAGAAAAAAAATCTTGATGTAAAAGATAATGTTCCCATTATTTAAGTGCAAGAACAATAACACGCAATTCTTTTAGATAATTAGTCACATTTATGTGAAAGTTAGAAAAAGCTGTCATAGACGAAACCATAATAAGAAATACATAACCATATCTGAGGCTAAGCGAGTCTGGGAGAATGATACAAAGCAAAATTTGAGAGATTTAGACGAACACGATCAATTTGGTTCGAAAAGGAGCGTTGTTTAACTATTTTGCAATTTACTTGGTATGCATTTTGATCATTATGAGTAAGATCAAACATCAATTCAATTTTTTTAATTAATTTTGATCATCTATTTGATTTTCTTGAATTACTTTTAACATGTTGAACAAATTGACAAAAACTTATTCAAATTCAAATTCATAAAATAGAAATGAAGACTAATAAAAAAAAAAATCTACTAAAAAAAAGTCATCAATCAAAATTTATTCAAATTCAAAAGTGAAAAAGTGGATAATTAATGTTTTTTGTTGATGTAGATTTCATTTTCATTTAATTCAATTCTAAATCCCTTTGGTATGGTACAAAGACAATACTCCCTTCTTTGTCAAGAATTAAATTATTTTTGAAAAAAATAGACCCCAAATTTGAATACCATAATGTAATATAAACCCGCATTTTATTAAAATAATCCCCATTATATTTTTTTGATGAAATATTTGGATAAAAATTTTCTTAAAAATAATGAACGATACATCAGTTTCTTCAATAATGATTAGGCCATGGCTCATTTCACGTTTATAGATTTTAAAATATTTAGATTTGTTTTAAGAATAATGTAATATATTAATAATCAATCAACACGAATATATTATATTAATTTCAAAATAAATCTAAAAATATTAAGATCTCGAATTTTCGACAAATTTTTATAAAAGTGATTGTTGTAAAACTGCTGTCGAGAAAATAATTTTTTTTTGTTGAAAACAATTGAAAAATAGTAACTTAACAAAAATTATAATTGTGATAACAAAGGTGTCCCAATCGAACCTAAGTCTCTTATGCATTTTTTTCTCAATTGAACTAATTTTGAAGTTAGCAAGATTGGATCATTGATCACCGTTCATGTTGAGAAATTATTCTGTGCGGAGTCCGGACGGGAAGAACCGTCCGGACATATGAGTGTACAACCGTCCGATCATATAAGTGTACATGCTATGTATATATTTGTATACAATGTATATCAAATCAACATGTATATAATATATATCAAATCAGTGTGTACATAACATGTATACGCGCAAATCGAACGATTCTTTTCGTACAAACTCCACAAAGGATAATTTATATTCCATGTCATATTATTATCGCCATTCTCCAGGGTAAATAAATTCCTATGAATCATTTCTCCGACTATTCATCTAAATTGTCCAAAAATGGTTTCTGAACGGGTCAAAAAGCCCGTTCCCAAACAAACTTCCAGCCCACAATTTGTTCCCGCTCCAGAAACCCACAACCACCATTCTACCTTTCTCTTAACAAAAATGCCCTCTTAGTGCCACCTGTAATAGCGTTAGGAAAAAAAGCTCACCGCCGGCGACGACACGGCGCCGTCGGTCGCCATGGATTCCGCCGAACGCGGTGGCCCTCTCCCTCCAACCAAGCGTCGGGTCATGGTCATCGCCGACGCCAGCCGCGAATCTTTCGTCGCCCTTCAATGGGCCCTTTCCCACGCCATTCTCGAACAAGATGACCTCATTCTCCTCCACGTCGAGACGTCAAACCCTAGTCGACGCGGCGGTGGCGGCTTATCGGCTTTCCTCCGCCGGCCGACGTCGTCAGGAAGTGCTGGAAACCAGCAGCACCATCAGCAGTTGGCTCTAACGTCGACGTCATCTTCGTCTTCGTCGTCTTCGTCGTCGTCGTCTGGATCGGTAGTGTCAGCTGGGTCGGGGGATGGGGGGGAGTACGAGTTCTTGGAGGCGATGAGAGCGGCGTGCGAAGCGGCGCAGCCGAAGGTTAAGGTTCAGGTAGAGAAGGTGGAGATGGAGGGAAGGGAAAAGGCGGCGGTGATTCTGTCGCAGACGAAGGTACTTGGAGTCGATTTGCTTGTTATTGGTCAGCGCCGTTCGGGTTCTTCATTTCTCGGGTAAAATCCTTTTTTCACCTCTCTTTATGTCATGGGTTAGCCATGGAGATTTAGGTTCTGAATGGGGTTGTTCAAAAACATCTAATTTTTTGAAAAAGTTCGTTCAGAACATGTTTCGGATTTGAACCCAAAATTTCAGCTTGGTTACTAAGGGGCTGTTTGATTTGCTGTAAAAAGGGTGTAAATTATTTCAAATGCAGCGGTTTTAGAAACATTGGTGTTTGGTTTGAATTAAAAGGAATGCAGAGTAACATTTTGAATTAAAATTAATTCACCATCCAGTTCAAATGTATCGTATTTAGAATTCCTCAAATTTGAAAGATTTCCACGTACATCAGAAACTCACGGCCATTGTCATCGGTGACAGCCACCTCCATCAATGCTTGTGGCCCGTTGCAGCCACCATTTGCCACCCTCGGCCTCCACCATCTTGAATTTTACACTACATTTAATTTCCTTCAAGCCAAAAAAAAATCTACATTTATTTTACACTTCTCCAAAAAACTCCAAAGTATTTCAAATACACTTCATTCCTTTTATTTTGCATTCAATTTCCTACAAGCCAAAAAAAAAAAAAAAGTAAAAATTTGCATTCATTTTATGCTCATCCAAACAACTCATAAATATTTCAAATACAATGCATTCCTTTTACATTGCTTCTTTTTTCAGCCAACCAAATAGCCCCTAAATGAGTTGATCATGAACTTGATTCTGACCCATCATACCTAGCTTGATAAGACCTCCATACAAAATATCAATTCTATAAATATTAAATGCTCTTGCATCTATTATAAATTCCATATAATGCACTAAAAAATTATAAGACATGTATTTTAAATTTTATTATTCTTAAATAATATTGTATTATCTAAAATCATTAATTTTCTTTTTGGTAAATAGAACCATAAGTCAAAATATTGCTGACATGCTTGATGGTCATCTATTAATCTTATTGTTCATGTTTGGCTCATGATTGACTTGACAAAGAATGAGTTGAAGACAAATAAGATTTTTAGCAAATTAAGAAATTTGAGCTTGTTTGTGTTCAGATTGATAGTTAATGAGTCAATATGAACAAAACTTTGCCTGATTATGTACAGCTTGTTTATAACCTAGTTAAAAATTTCTTTCAAGCGAGGTGGTCCCTTGATTATGAGATTGATTTTTTTTTTGGTTAATGCTTAAAATGTTATATTTTGAGTTCCTATTTTCTCCATGACCGATTCTTCTCTAACTCTCATTGCTCTTTGCTCCATTTTAAATGGTGTCTTTCCTCAAATACAAGCTCAATAGTGAGTCTTTTGTCATTTCTTATTTCCTTATACCTAATACTAGATCTGAAATAATATATGCATAAAATCTGAATGATTTTGTGCTGGCTCAGAAAGTTTTCAGGTTGGTTGAAAATCAAAAAGTTCCAAGCCGAGTTAGCTTGACACAAAATTTTTTCAACTTAGAATTAAATCTGACCTGGCCTTGAATCAATTATTATAAATTCTAGCTCTAGATAAGCTGAATAATATTGTTCAATCCAAACTATTTTCATTTTGATGTTTGAACTAAACATCAAATTTCTGGCAGACTGAATAAGAATTGTTCAGGGTAAAGTTGAACATGTCTATATGACAATATTTTGTTAAATTTATTACCCGAGATGGGAGCCGAACTATAGGACTACTTATGGCCGAAAGTATAGCTGACGAGAGCTTTAGAAAATTAAAAATACTAAGATGCTTCCAAATTTAGAGACATTTAACATGTATTTTTGCCTGTATTTTAGCCTATGGTTTGATCATGAGAGCATCCCTCTTATTGTTGCTACTTGCTATTGCTTTTTATAATTAATAATAAAAAAAAAAGCTGTCGCTTTAAATAATTTATTTTAAGCTATAAAACAATGAAGGACAAATGAGATACAAAATAGCTAAGAAAAGAATTAAGAAGTTCTAAAAGACTTCCTTCGACATAGATGTATTAAAAATTAAGATAATAAGAACTTAGATAAAGAAATCAAGGGAAAATAAAAATGTAGTTTTCAAAAATATTCAATAAAAACTTAAAGGATGGAATTTCTTTAGAAGAGCTTAATGGATTGAATCATTAAGTATAATATAGATTAATAGGAAAAAATAAAACCGAGTTAGTTTTAAAATGTAAGAGAAAATACTTTAGGTCTAGGTGAGATGCTTCTTGAGGTTAGGATAGCTATGATAGATAAGGGAATAGCCTAATAGTTGTGATCTTAGTATATGCTTTATATAGATGATATAGTTAGAATTAGTGAGAACTCTGCTAGAAAAGGTGAAGAGTTAAAACAATGAAGGTAAGGAGGTGAGGCTTAAGATTAGTATAACAAAAATTATGTATATGGTATAATTTCAAGTGTTAAATTGATGGTCATGGGTCAATATTATCAGAAGATTAAGTGATTCATAAGTGTGATGACTTTTAAGCTTTTTTTATCTACTTATAAAAAAGCGGAGATATAAATTTGATTATATCTTCTAAAATTAAGCTTGAGTGATTAAAATAGATTAGCGACTTATCATTACTATGTAAAAATAAAATAGCTTAGAGATCTAAAGGTTAAATTTGTAAATAAGCAATAAGAATGAATAAAATCAATCATATATTGCCTGATTCATCATGATAGAAATAAGTATATTAAGATATATGTGTGAAAAAATGATAGGAAGTGATGCACTTTTTCTCGAAATCAGTAAACAAAAATAAAAAATTAGGAAGAAAAACACACCAAAATTATTTTTATAATAATATATATGAAAGAAAATAGAAAGATACAGTTGGATCTTCAATTCGAGAGGAAGATCTGGCTCTCCCAAATTCCTAGCTTCTGAATAGAGCCCAAATAACCTAAAAAATTATAATTTCAGCAAACTATAATATGAAATTACCCCATAGTTAGCCTTAAATAGACTCCCATAATTTCCTCCCAAATCAGCCCCCTTTCCCTAAATAAATCCCTCTCAGATTTGAATTCAAATTAGTTTTATTTCCATAATTAATTCCCTCCCAATCATAATTAAAACTTTCCTAAACAATCCTTCCTCTATTCTTCCTTCTTTTCCCTAAATAATTTCCTCTTAGATTTTGAATTCAAATTAGATCTCTTGCCCTAAATAATTCCCACCCAAATATAATTAAAATTTGTCTTAAACAATTCCCCTTTGATTAAGAACATTCATAAATAATCCCCTTTTAATTATGAAACTTCCTAATTCCTTCCCAATCAAATCGTTCAGTCTATCAATACTCCCCTCCCAAAGTGTCACATTATCCTCAAGGTGGAACGAAGGAAACTGCTGTTGAAGCACTTGACTAATAGTACTAGACTAAAAAATGGACTATCACTAGATCGAGTGATTCCTTCCTCCAGCATCTCCTTGAGCAATCTCTTCATCTCATCCTCTTAAAGTTGGGGAGAATGGTACAGACGAACATTGCTATGTGAAACTTCGTCCTTCTAAAGGGTAGCATGCTTGTGTTCCTGCGAAGGAAGCAACTCATGAACTGCTTGAAACACTTCTCGATATTCCTATAAGAGTGGCTGAACCATTTCGGGTGCTTCTATCTTCTCCCCATCTTCTTTTTCTTCTAAACTGTGCAGTTCCACAAAAAATCTTACTCCACCATTTCCCCTCCTTGGAAGTGATTCCAAAGATGGCATCTCCTCTTCTTCCCAAAAAAATTTCACCTCCTGATTCTCCCTCATTATCCCTATATTAGGGTTTCTCCCATTTTCTTGTCCGGTCAACGATGCTCTCACCTCCTATATTGTCGGTTTGGTTTGGCCCTCAAGAAGCTTCTTTATCATCTCCTCCTTGATGACAAATTTCTCATCGATCTTCTTATGGATGATTGAAAATAGCTTTTCAAAACCGGAAGTCTTTTCTTCAAAATCAGATTTTAATTGTCTGGTCTCCCTTTTCAACACTTTTACATTTCTTCCCGCCATAGGTACCCGGATTTAGGCTCTAATACAAATTTGATATGAAGTTCATGCACTTTTTCTCGAAATCAGTGAATGACAATAAGAAATTAGTAAGAAACACACAAAAACTATTTTTATTACAAGATATATGAAAGAAAATAGCAAGATACAATTGGATCTTTAATTTGAGAGGGGAAGATCCGACTATCCCAAATCCATAGCTTTCCAGCTAACCTAAGAAATTCTAATTTCAGCAAACTCCAAAACATTATCTAAAATCACCCCATAGTTAGCCTTAAATAGGCTCCCATAATTCCCTCCCAAATCAGCACCTTTTTCCTAAATAAATACCTTTCAGATTTGAATTCAAATTAGATTTATTTCTATAGTTAATTCCCTCCCAATTGTAATTAAAACTTTCCTAAATAATCCCCCCTTAATTCCTCCTTTTTCCTAAATAATTTCCTCTTAGATTTTGAATTCAAATTAGATCTCTTGCCTTGAATAATTCCCTTCAAAATTAGCACCCTTTTCCTAAATAAATACCTTTCAGATTTGAATTCAAATTAGATTTATTTCTATAATTAATTCCCTTCCAATTGTAATTAAAACTTTTCTAAACAATCCCCCCTTAATTCCTCCCTTTTCCTAAATAGTTTCCTCTTAGATTTTGAATTCAAATTAGATCTCTTGCCTTAAATAATTCCCTCATATATGTAATTAAAAATATTCCTAAATAATTCCCCTTTGATTAAGAACCTTCCTAAATAGTTCACTCTTAATTAGGAAACTTCCTAATTCCCTCCCAATCAAATCGGCTACTCTATCAAATAATTATGTTGGTTGAAAAATAATTATATTAGTTAAACTATGGGCTAGCACCTATCAAACACAAAATTAGTGAAATAGATTTGAGTGATTTGGCCACACAATGGTGTAGAAATGCACCAATAAAAAGGGAAGATAAAATTAATTAGAATGAAGGACAAATGGTAAATCAAAAGTTATACTCAGTAGAAATGAAAGAACAATGGGGAATTGGAATTTCATAATTAAAGCCATCCCAAAATTTGTAAATGATTAATCATGATAATAAAATTATCAAGGTAATTGAGTACACGAAGTTTCAGTGAGTTTTATTTACAAAAACAATCTGCTAGAGGAAATTTAGTTAACTTTGTTCTTTCAAAGTTGAATTGCTTGAACGTGCTTGCAGTGATTTAACTTTGGATCAAATAATTCCTTTATACATGTGTGGGCTCTGTACTGACACCATTTAATCGAACCAAACAAGAATGCTCCATTCAATAGGTAGTTAGATCTGAGTTATAATCTTTTCTTCTATATTGCCAACATGCATGTACTCATCTACAAGAGTAAAGATAATGATTTTTTTTACTCCTTATAGATTTAGTCAAATATTATACAGTCTCTTGATGTTGATGTTTCTCAAAATATCAAATACTTCCTTGAGTTTACTTTTATCAACTTTTTCTTACTAACTTCTAAATTATGAATATATATATAATTATATATATTTATCTATATAATAACTTTGTATCTCAATCACACGGTTACAATACCGGCGGCCTAACCGCCGGCAGACCGACGGTTAAAATTCCGTTGGTCACCGGCGGTATTGGCCGCCGGAAAACCGCCGCAAAAATAAACCGCCGGTAACAAGCCGTCGGAAATGGTTTCGGCGGTTCACAAACTGCCGTTAGACCGCCGGTAACTTTAAAAACCGCCGGTAAATCTAGACTAACCGCTGGAAAAAACCGCCGGTTTTCAGCGTTTTTCCTGTAGTGGATTAAAACATATTAGCGACTTATCATTACTATGTAAAAATAAAATAGCTTAGAGATCTAAAGGTTAAATTTGTAAATAAGCAATAAGAACGAATAAAATCAATCATATTCATCATGATAGAAATAAGAATATTAACATATATGTGTGAAAAAATGATAGGAAGTTGATGCACTTTTTCTCGAAATCAGTAAACGACAATAAGAAATTAGGAAGAAAAACATACCAAAATTATTTTTATTACAAGATATATGAAAGAAAATAGCAAGATACAATTGGATCTTCAATTCGAGAGGAAGATCTGGCTCTCCCAAATTCCTAGCTTCTGGCTAGAGCCCAAATAACCTAAGAAATTATAATTTCAGCAAACTTCAAAACATAATATGAAATTACCCCATAGTTAGCCTTAAATAGGCTCCCATAATTCCCTCCCAAATAAGCACCATTTCCCTAAATAAATCCCTCTTAGATTTGAATTCAAATTAGTTTTCCCTCCCAATCATAATTAAAACTTTCCTAAACAATCCCCTCTTAATTATGCCTTCTTTTTCCCAAATAATTCTCTCTTAGATTTTGAATTCAAATTAGATCTCTTGCCTAAATAATTCCCTCCCAAATATAATTAAAATTTTTCTTAAACAATTCCCCTTTGATTAAGAACCTTCCTAAATAGTCCCACTCTTAATTAGGAAACTTCCTAATTTCTTCCCAATCAAATCGTCCAGTCTATCAATACTCCCCTCCCAAAGTGCCACATTGTCCTCTACGTGGAACGAAGAAAACTGCTGTTGAAGCACTTGACTAATAGCACTAGACTAAAAAATGGACTATCACTAGATTGAGTGATTCCTTCCTCCAACATCTCCTTGATCATCTCTCCATCTTATCCTCTTAAAGTTGGGGAGAATTGTACAGACGAACATTGATATGTGAAACTTCGTCCTTCCAAAAGATAGCATGCTTGTGTTCTTGCGAAGGAAGCAACCCATGAACTGGTTGAAACACTTCTCGATATTCCTGTAAGAGTGGCTGAACCATTTCGGGTCCTCTATCTTCTCCTCATCTTCTTTTTCTTCTAAACTCTGCAGTTCCACAAAAAATCTTACTCCATCATTTCCCCTTCTTGGAAGTGATTCCAAAGATGGCATCTCCTCTTCTTCCCCAAAAATTTTCACCACATAAATCTCCTTCATTATCCCTATATTAGGATTTCTCCCATTTTCTTGTTCGGTCAAATGATGCTCTCACCTCCGATGTTGTCGATTTGGTTTGGCTCTCAAGAAGCTTCTTTATCATCTCCTCCATGATGACAAATTTCTCATTAATCTTCTCATGGATGGATGAAAATAGCTTTTCGAAACCTGAAGTCTTTTCTTCAAAATCATAATTTAATTGTTCGATTTCCCTTTTCAACACTTCTATATTTCTTCCAGCCATATGTACCCGGATCTAGGCTTTGATACCAATTTTATAGGAAGTTGATGCACTTTTCTTCGAAATCAGTGAACGACAAAAAGAAATTAGGAAGAAAAATACACCAAAACATATTTTATTACAAGATATATGAAAAGTAAATAATAAGATACGGTTGGATCTTCAATTTAAGAGGAAGATCTGGCTCTCCCAAATCCGTAGCTTTCGGCTATAGCCCAAATAACCTAAGAAATTCTAATTTCAGCAAACTCTAAAACATTATCAGAAATCACCCCATAGTTATTCTTAAATAGGCTTCCATAATTCCTTCCCAAATCAGCCTCCTTTCCCTAAATAAATCTCTCTTAGATTTGAATTCAAATTTGATTTATTTCCATAATTAATTCCCTGCCAATTGTAATTAAAAATTTCCTAAACAATCCCCCTTAATTCTTCCTTCTTTTTTCCTAAATAATTCCCTCTTAGATTTTAAATTCAAATTAGATCGCATGCCCTAAATAATTCCATCCTATATGTAATTAAAAATATTCCTAAATAATTCTTGTTTGATCAAGAACCTTCCTAAATAGTTTCCTCTTAATTAGGAAACTTTCTAATTCCCTTCCAATCAAATCGGCTACTTTATCAAAAAATTATGTTGGTTGAAAATAATTATATTAGTTAAACTATGGGCTAGCACCTATCAAACACAAAATAAGTGAAATAGATTTGAGTGATTTGGCCACACAAAATGGTATAGAAATGCACCAATAAAAAGGGAAGACAAATTTAATCTGAATGAAGGACAAATGGTAAATCAAAAGTTATACTCAGTAGAAATGAAAGAACAATGGGGAATTGGAATTTCATAATTAAAGCCATCCCAAAATTTGTAAATGATTAATCATGATAATAAAATTATCAAGGTAATTGAGTACACGAAGTTTCAGTGAGTTTTATTTACAAAAACAATCTGCTAGAGGAAATTTAGTTAACTTTGTTCTTTCAAAGTTGAATTGCTTGAACGTGCATGCAGTGATTTAACTTTGGATCAAATAATGCCTTTATACATGTGTGGGCTCTGTACTGACACCATTTAATCGAACCAAACAAGAATGCTCCATTCAATAGGTAGTTAGATCTGAGTTATAATCTTTTCTTCTATATTGCCAGCATGCATGTACTCATCTACAAGAGTAAAGATAATGATTTTTTTTACTCCTTATAGATTTAGTCAAATATTATACAGTCTCTTGATGTTGATGTTTCTCAAAATATCAAATACTTCCTTGAGTTTACTTTTATCAACTTTTTCTTACTAACTTCTAAATTATGAATATATATATAATTATATATATTTATCTATATAATAACTTTGTATCTCAATCACATCAAAATATATGCTGAACAGATTTAGATGGCATAATAATTCTATATAATATCTTTTTTAGTCTCCCTAGCAAATAAAAAAATGTGACATTGCTAGTTCTTCATAAATTAAAGAGTTGATTGATAAAATTTGTATATTTTGGCAGATGCAAGCTCAGTGGAAGCATGAGTGGGAGAGGATTGGACACTGCAGAGTTCTTGATAGAGCACTGCAAGTGCCTCTGCGTTGGAGTCCAGAAGAAAGGTCAGAATGCAGGTTATCTTCTCAACACAAAGACACACAAGAACTTCTGGCTCCTGGCTTAGACTTGCTGTAGCTCCTCCTTTCACTTATAGCCTTCTTCATATACTTCTCTTCCCCTCTCTATTCATATTCATGAATCTGTTTATTTATTTTGGTTTAATTTGTATATATATTTATATATTTTTAAGGTAAATCTTGCAAGCCTGGAAGGTGTAATTATAAGAACAGCATAGGAAGATTGTTAAGTTCATAGATTTTCTGAAAATTGTTATTGATTTAAAAAAAAAAAAAATCTCTCTTTCAGAATGCTTGCTTGAGTGAGTTTTTTACTAGTGATTGGGAGATTCAATTGCATATTGCATAATCCAAACAACTTTCACGTATAAAAGATGATTAAGACTTCATTTGGGATAGTTTTTTTGCTGCTTTTTAAAACAACTTTCAAGTACAAAAAAATTATTGGATTAGAAATTTTTGTACTAAAAAATTGTTTTAAAAAGCAGTAAGAAAACTATCCCAAATGAAACCTAAGACTTAGGCTTCGTTTGGGACGGCTTTTTTACTGCTTTCTAAAATGAAGTTTTAGTACAAAAATAAAAAATTTTGTACTAAAACTCCGTTTTAGAAAGCAGTAAAAAAGCCGTCCCAAACAAAGCCTTAGTTCGGGATAGTTTTTTTAGTGCTTCTTAAAGCGGTTTTCTAGTACTAGAAAGTTGTCCCAAATGAAGCCTAAGAAAATTTTTACACATGAACTTAATCATGATAAATCATTGAGTTGATCTGAATATCAATGATTTTAGATTCGGTCGGGCATTGATTCATAAGAAGATAACATTTAATGTTAAATTGCAATGCAACCATGGCTGGAGCAATGCGGCACTGTGCTTGGTTATATGAATTTTTTTTTTCTTTATTGTGTTCTATTAAAAATTAGTTTTTCATTTAAATATAATAAATAAAATTTATTTATAAAACTTTCTAATCAAGCTTTTTAGGTCTATCTCTGCCTTTTTTAATATATGCTAGATGTAATATATTTACTTTTTAAATCAAGTCATCAGACGTCCGTTGCTTTATGTGCCCAAATGATCAAAGACGACTAACTCTAATCTTATCATTGTCTTTGTCAGGTCTAGAGTCATGGATGAGAAAATTGGAGGGTTGCATTAGATAGTCGATAATTAATGTAAAATTTATCGAGCAATCACGATTTGGATCCAGGGTTGAATTGTGATGAAGACATGAAGTAATATATTTTAAAATTATTTAAATGATGTAATGATATATAATAATGACTTAATTATATGTTAATTTTTTTAAAGTTGAAAATATTCATCTTAAATAGCTCTTATAAGTTTGATTTGAATATCTATAATTAAATGAATTATATAAAGCCAATGCACAACTTATCTCAATGATTTTAAGATATTTAGGATTAAATAAATATATTTATGAAAACTGATAACAAATAAAGTGTAATTTGAAACAATATTTTATGAAATCATGACAGGTTGAACCCTCTAATAGGGGTGTAAGTGAGTCGAGCCGGCTTGAGCTTGATCATTTATAGGCTCGCGAGTCGAGCTTATCAAGTTCACGAGTCGGCTCGAATAATAATTAATATTTTTTAATATTTTATTTATTATTTAATTTAAATATTTTAAAATTATAATAATAAATGTTTAAAATATTTAATAATATTAAATTAATATTTCTTGTTTAAAATTAATAATAAATGTTTAAAATATTTAATAAAAATTTAAATATTTAAATATTCAAAATAATTAGTAATGTTTAAAAAATCCTATTGAGGCTCACGAGCCGGCTCAAGCTCGTTTATAGTGGGACGAACTTGAGTTTGAGCTTGAGCTCAATATTTGATAGTCGAGCTCATCTAGCTCAACTCGAACATCCCTGATGAGCTCGACTCGATTGGTTTGCACCCCTACAGTTTAATGACCAATTTTTTCTGGAAGCCTAAATCGTCTTAAAAGAAGCCTAAATTTTAAGTCATTTGGAATATCCATCACAAAACACTTTGTTGAATCTTAAATATACCTAAATGATCTTATAAATGAAGAAAAGTGTTCATGCAAATAGAACAAGTACATGTCACCTCTTATTTCTTACCTTAAGCATCATAACAACTTGACATTCTTCTTACCATCCTTACATTTTGTTCAAGATGATTTCATGCAATGGAAACAATCAAATTCAGATACAACTCAATAAAAATTAACTTGGCTAGAGGCTTTATTAAACCTTCAAGAGTTCATATCCCCAATTTTAATCGCCATCTCAACCTTCAAGTTCTAATACCAAATCATAAACAACCCAAAAAAAAAGTTAAAAAAAAAAAAAGCATAAGGGGAAATGCTCTATGTATTTTAAGTCCTTGCATCCAACGCCATGATAGTGCTCAAGTTCATTGGGCTCATATATTCTGAAGAACCAGTCACAAATCGGCTGACAATAATCCTGTTTGCTCTCTCTGTTGGGTGGAATGCGTCCCAGAAAGCATAGATGTCCCTATTTGGGCACAAATTTGAAGCAATTGTGCAGAGGCCAACTCCATTGTATGCTCCCTGCCCACAACAGGCCACCTTAGAAGTAACGAAGCCTGCCAAGAACAGTTCCCAAGTCATTTCTCATCTTCTTTTGGAATTCAAATCTCTATATATATGTTCAAGATGATAGTTTTTCTTTCTTTTTCTTGTAAAAATTGATGATTTATATCAGGTTTGAATGAAAAGAGGGAAGCTTGATTCTCACCATAGGCTTGTGGGTTGCTGATGAAGTCCATATGCATCCTGAATGCATTGGCTGTAACAAACACATCTGAACCGGCGTCGCTGTTGAGCTCATTAAGGACCTGTTCAAGCTGGGGGTTGAAGAGATTGGCGGCCCGTTGCAGCTCCGCTGCGCATTCGCCGTTTGGGCTTCTCAGAGCAAGCTCAGTTGGGACACAACCAAGGGGACCGGTTCCGGTGACGAGGACCCGCCGGGCTCCCAGATCATAAAGCCTCTGCAGATTTAGTTGCAGTATGTAACTTAGACAAATTCAGTGCAGGAGTTTTAGTTTATATGCAAATATGGATCGTGCAATTGTGGTTGATATTAGTAATGAAGAATTATACCGCAAGAATCTTCTTGTATTCAGAGATTATGTACTGAACATAATCTGGCAAAGAGAACTCCCGAGATCTAGCAGAAAAGGGTACTAAGTAGTAATTGTTGACGAAATCGTTGCCGCCAAGAGTTATCAGAACAAGAGCCTGATTTACTAGCCGTTGTGTCTCATCAGGACCAATGAGAGAACTTACCCTCTCCTGATACTGCTGAAAGTATCCCAATTGCTGATTGATCCTTATAATGTTCAGCTGCAAAACAACAATGTAGTTTATTAGGCATATAAGAGCTGAATTCACTGAAGAAATTTCAAAACTTACAAATTGGATTCCAGTGTCGTTCAAAATGCCAATTCCAGCTGAAGCAAAGTTGGCTCCGACGAACAACCGCTCCCCTTGCAGTTCAGGGCTCAGGTAAGGCAATGTAGGCTCCTCACCAATGCGTTCACCTGCAAGTAATAAACATGTTCAGCAACTCAACAATGAGAATATAAGCTCAGGACACTGTAAAATTTGTCAATTATCAGAATTACTGATTATGTCGGGTATGTTGAGCCCGTTGGAGAACCGTCCGGTCGGCCGGTGCGTCGGGTAGTCAATGCCATATGGTGGCGAGTCGGCCCGAGCGGTGGTTGCCAAGTAGTTGTTGTTTCCACTGTCAACAAGAGAATCTCCAAAGACAAAGAATGCTCTTGCCTCTGATTGCTGCACAAGCTCACTAAGAACTAGCAAGGAAACCACAGAGAAAAGGAAAACACTTGAGGACTCCATAATCAAGAACAAGCAAGTTGTAGTGGTGCTAGCAATACTCATGCACATGGAGGTTCAAAGACAAGTGGCTTTATATATATAGATCTCTAGTTATAATTAATCAAATTGTATTATATCTATTAAATTAAGACAAGTAGGGAGTTGGAGATATGGGCCAAGCAACAGAGAGGAAAGTTAAAAGCCACTGGTGAGCCAGCCATGCATGAGTGACAATGATGACAATTTTCAAGTTGTTTTCTTCCACTGCTCCAATGGTAGCTGGCTGCTAACTTATCCATTACTGGAACTTAATTCCCAATTGCTCAATATTTACAGACTGATGGGGTTACCATCTATGGTTTCAAATTCTCCTGCCTGTAATTGTTACTTACTTTGAATGTAGTTCGTTCACTTCATCTGCGTTTTTAGATATATAACATATTGCATCATAAGATAATCAAATGACCGTTATAATTTGATTAGAATCAATTAAATTTTTCTTTCTTTCTTCCACACGTGTCCTTTCATATACTATTTCATCATGAACAGTATATAGTTTGCACACTAGAGCTTCGTTTGAGACAACTTTCTTGCTGCTTTAAGAAGCAATAAGAAAGCCATTCCAAACAAAGCCTAAGTGAGCTTGTGCAAGCTTGGCATGCCTTTTAGCTTTGTCTGTTTGGTTTTTGTTTTGTTCGACCTCGGCTCATGTTTTGTTCATGTTAGATTCACTTTAGGCTCATTAGCAGCTTTTTCAGTTTAAAGTATTCTCTGACTGTGATTAGCTTTTTTATACTATTTATTTGCTATCTTTTATCTCTTCCTAATAGATTTCTTCTTAGCTTCTTTTGTATTTTATTTATGTTTTGACTCTTGATTCTCTTTCATTATGACTAATCCTATCAAATTCATCACAAAAAAAAAAAAAAAAAAAACACAGGGTGTGCCAATTTCTATCTTTCAATTTTCCCAGAAAGCAATGTAAATGTAATCAAACTGTCAGCAAAAATCCTTTGACAGCAGGACTGCCATTTCCCACCACCTCTTCTTTACTTTTTCCCAAATTGTTCTAGTTAACTGTCAGCCCTGTATGGTTATAAGCAAGTACCAAGAGAGACTGGTGAAATGGTCATGCTATTCTTGCTATTATTAATTGTCATCCAAGTATCCAACCAATTTCCGTTTCTACTTATGAGCCAAAGCTGGAAGAAAATAACCCTGCCTCATATTTAATGGGAGGGCCATAATGGTGGTGTGAGATAGAGGAAGCCACATGTGAAAGAAATAAATGTGGGTAGTTTTTTTAAGATGGAGTAGCTGATTCAACCTTCAGTTTGAAAATTATTCTATGCGGAATCCGAACGTGTTCGGAGGCGAATTGGGGCGCACCACGTCACCGGGGCCCAATGCATCCGATGACGTGGCACGCCTCAATTCGCCTCTGAATGAGTTCGGATTCCGCACATAATAATCTCTCTGGTGAAACACCGTTAACTCGCTCATGTTACTGATAAAAAATATGATGTGTGGCCATACTCAATCATTAAAATAATAATAATAATAATAAATCTAAGTACATTGCATTTCAAAGTAGAGGCCAAAGAAGTAAATCTGCCATGGAAACCTAGCATTGCCATATCAAATGGATAGGAAAAAGTGTCTTATAGAAGATTATTAGTGAATTTATGATGTAAGATGGCTTTTCTAGCTACTTTTTGGTTCTACATCTACCTTCATTATTGCTATTTAATTTCTGTGAATTGCTAACATAGTGCACCATTACCTTTACAATGAGCTCCATTATTGATGAGTTAGCATGGACAAACTTGCTGTCACGTGAAGATTTTTTTTTTTCAACATAAACAGGAGGCAACTAATTAGTGCGAAGATGTCAGGGAAAAGCTCATGCCTTAGAGTAATAATGATTATGAGAATGAGAAAAATAATCTATAAGGAGAATACTAGAAATGTTCATTAGTCCAGAGATAAATACAAGATACAAATATTTATTCTCAAATAAAAACCTCCACTTCAAGTTGGATGGTTGAATTGGAGGAATGCATCGGGCTTGTTGTTTGATAGAAAAATACCCCTCAAACTTAAGGGAAAATTCTATAAGATGGTGGTGAGACCTGCAATGCTTTATGGTGCCGAATGTTGGTCATTGAAAGAGAAGCATAATACTAAGTTAAGTGTTGCAGAGATGAGTATGAGGTGGATGAGTGGCTTTACCCTTAGAAATAGGATATGAAACGAGCATATACGTGAAAAGGTTGGAGTAGCTCCAGTGGAAGATAATATTAGAGAGAGTCATCTTAGATGATTTGGTCACATAAAACGACACTTCCGATGACCCGATTAGGAAAGTAGAGGTATTAGATTTGAAATTATGTTAAAAAAGCTAGAGGTAGACCTAAAAAGGCTTGGTTAGAAAATATTAGAAAAGATCTTTCTTTATTAGATTTAAACGAGAATTTGACTTTTAACAGGACACAATGGATAAAAAGGATTCATGTAGCCGACCCCACGTAGTGCTTACAAAGGCTTTGATGTTGTTGTTGTTGTATGTCACCAGAGATTTAGAAAAGCCTACTAAATCCTATGTCAGATCATTTCTTCCATTTGTTAGTTGATGATTTCCTTTTGACAAGGTCCCGAACTTTGAACCGGACCTTTGGATCTTTGTTGGTGGTTATTATCGACTGCCTAACATACAAAAAATTTATATGACACCGAGCAATATTAAAATTTCTGACATCCAATCACTCCACTAACTACTTTTTGGGACCTTCGCCTCTACGGATGATTAAATGAAGGAAAAGAATGAGCGAGATCTTGCAACCATTATTTAGTTTCTTCTCTTTTTACAAATCAATGAGGCGAGGTATATATATACGAATACAGTCCTAAGATCAAAATGATTGGGAAAAATTAAACTCCACACCTAACTTTAATGATTATGCTACCTATGCTACAGAAGATAGTGTACTATTTCCATTAAAATTTTGCCTATGATCATTCACCTTTGACAAGTACAGCTTTCACCACAAGCGAATGGCAAAGATAAATTCAACAGTAGCAAACAGCCAATACTTCAATTCTCAATTGTCACATTCTGGATATGCATTTTGTTCTATGTTCTTGAATAATAATTGGAAAAAATGGAAACAAGAATAAGTAGGAAGCCTTCTGGCTTAAGAATGAGAAGCTGCACAGCTTGTCAGAAGTCTGCAAGGAATTTGGTATGAGGCTGTAATGTTTCAGGAATTTGCAGAACTGCTTAATTCAAGGGTGGAATTCATAGAAATAAGAAAAACAGTAAAGAAGTTTCCAATCAGTTAAGCAGCTATAGAAATATGAAAGAGAAACTGAAAATTTTAATAGATTTATGGTTGGATGGAGTGAAATATAATATAAGGAAAACTCAGTTCGATTTACAGTGGTTGAATCTAAACCACACTTTTCGTCTATTAAATCCTCTTCTAGTAGAAAAATTAAAGCCTGCGACATAACAGAAGATGAGATATTAAACACATCTAAGAGGTCCTGGCATTACCTTGCCGTCTTTAGTGGCCATTATTTTGCAAAATGGAAAGACTTCAAAGCTTCAACTGTTTGGAATAAGTTGCTCACCTATTTTAAATTACTTGGAGTAAATAAACAGAAGAAAATTTAAGCTAAAAAATATCAAAAAAACCTTTTTTTACAGATTTTTCACAATTGATGATTACTTTATATTTTTATTACTACTGTTTCTGCTATGATGACGATGTTAAAAATTTTTAGAGAAAAATTCACAGCCTTTCACTTTCTGTTTTTCTTTCTTTTGTTAACTACCTAACTATGCTACATGAAGCACCAAGGAAAAACCCACAATGTCATATGAAACCAACAAGTAAGTCCATCTATATGGTGTTCTTATTAATTAGAAAGATACCAGACATCCCGGCCCAAGGTTGTTCATATCACAGTGATCAATATGTTTCTTTCTAATCTGAAAAAAGAAAAAGTTGATATCTTTTATTATGAAACAGAAAATAATTGTTCAGAATATTGTATGAGGATACAAAAAGTTCACTTCTTACTTAAGAATTTCAGTTGATAGATCTCTTTGCTGCATGCTTCTATGCTTCCTTATTACAGAGAAGAGTAATGAAGATGAGACATCTTTATCTTAAGCTCAAGTTTAGTGTTGTTTTTGAGTGAATTCTCTGATACTCAAATTAGTAACTTAAACTGAAAGAGATTCAAGTTCTTTTCGACATTATTTAATAAACATAATTCTTGCTGAGAAAAAAGCTAATGTTAGAGCAATTACACCTAAAATATAATTGTTTATTTTTGATACGTCATAAAAAATTGGCTTGATGATGCATGAATCTCGATACATATTTAAATTGGAAGATTCTAGAATTAAATTTTGTATCATCAACAAACTTATAGTGAAATTGATAGGCTCTATGAGACGAATCTAACAAAGCAAAAAAATGATCCGATCCTAATTCAAATAAGCCCGAATTAAGAGTTTGAAGCATAGTTGAAAACTTGGAGATATCAATTGGAGGACCAAATGATCTCTAAATTTAACATGCTTATAATCAAATCGAGTGTCGACAAGCCTAAGTGTGACACCTCCATGTTCAATATTCAATTCTACTCGTGTTGAACTGACTAAAAAAAATATAAAGATTTGAACTTTTGAGTTTTTATATCATTTGCATGCCTTTGGGAGTATTTTGATGCATGAAAATGATTGCGTGGTCTATAATGAGTCCCAAGTGTTTGGTGTGGATTTTGGCAAAACCCGAGAAATGTCACTATCGAAGAGCCTCAATGCTGGGTGTCAATTAGTGATGGTTGAGTAATGAGTATCAAAGATCGGGAAGTTTTTTGCAGCCATTATGTATTCTAAAGTAAAAATGGGAAGAAGTTTCTATATAATTTGCCATGGATTTTTCTAGGTTGAGATAGGGACATGATGCTATTTGGATTATAGTTGACCATCTGACGAAACCAGCCCATTTCATTCTGATCCGACAGTTTGATTATGTAGATAGATTAGCACGGATATATCTGTATAAGATCATCAAGTTGGATGGAATACTGAAGGTTATAGTTTCTGACGGGGATGACATATTTACCTCCAGGCTGTGAATAGGTATTCAGCAAGGACTGAGAATGAAATTGCATTTTAGTACAACTTTTCATCTTCTGACTGATGGGTAGTTTGAGAAGACTATTCTGGTTTGGAGGATCATTTGAGACTCTATGTTCTAGATTTTGGTGGCAATCAGGAAGATTATATTAATCCTCTTATCAA